CTGCATTATGTGAGCTGCATTTCAATAAAGCTATTTTAAATTTTTAATTCTTCACAAATTGATAAATCAAAACTGTTACATTATATTCAAACTCCAGAAGACCTACCCCACTGTCAGACTTTTTTTTTTTTTTTTTGGTACCAGGGATCAAACTTGGGTCCTTGCACTTGTGAGGCAGGTGGCAGAACTGAGCTAAATCCCCGGTCCTGTCAGGTATTTTTCTAGCCGGGCCGAAAGTTCCACGTTGTCCCTTTCTTAACAATTCAATCCCTTTCTTAAGGATTTAATTATTTTTCCTAAAAATACAAAGATCAAGTGTGGGGCAGGAGTGGAGTGGGAATCCATTTTGTAAAAGTTACAAACACTTCAAGCTGAGTTTTAATACAGAGAATTTTTCAAAATAAGTATTTTCATAACAAAAAAAACTCCTGATAAAAGACATCTATTGTAACATTTGGGCTTAAAACAATGTGTTACTATTCTACCACTAAAATAAGAATTAGATTCAGTTATAGTCTCTCAACAGTGTTCTTCAAAGTGGATGAATTCTGTAAAGTAAGGAAAAGCACATCTATGTTTGCAGAATTTCAGAAATAATCTGCCTCATGGGAACAGCAGTGGTTGCAATCCCAAAATACAATGCCAGGGTTCACAGTCAACAGGCTCCATGGCCCATCTCCTACGGAAAGCCAGGTCAGTTTGCCAGGACAGCTTCAAGAGGCTATGCAGATCAGTAAACAAGCAGGCAAATGCGGAATACAGTTGATATCATCCTCGATGCCTACTTTGGTACACACAGTAGGTGCAGTTCTCAAAAACTCTCCTAATGAGTGGACATTCTGACTGGTTAGACCACCTGGCTGCTTGTAGGTTTTACTGTTCATGACTTACAGAATATTGGGGGGCTAATAAAACTGCTCGAGCAGTGCCGGGGATTTAAGTCAGTGGTTTCACCGCCTGCTGCGCAAGCGCAAGGGCCCGACTTCAATCCCCGGTACACTCCCCCCCCAAAAAGTGCTCAAGCACTCTAGTACAAGGTAAAAAGAGCCTTCTCTATAGGAACCTTTGGAAAACCTTTTTCTCCTCTGGGCTAGCTTAATATAGAAGCAACTACAACAGATCTTCTCAATTACTTCATCAGCCTGAATTCTAATGCCTTTATTATAATAAGCAATCTAAAGTTAGAGTAAAACCTTCTGTGATCATAAACATATTTTCCTTTAGGTTACTGTGAGGAGTATGTTGGCAGTCTCAAAGTAAATTTTAAGGTTTTCTCTGAGATGAGAAGAATCAGGAAATTATACTTAACATGTATTTCAAAAATATTTTAGGAGAAAAGCAGGTAAAATGTTCTAGCATATCAGTTTTGATTAATTTTTTTAAAGGATTTTGAAGTCTACATTTTGAATACATTTTGAACAGAAAAAATCTAACAAAAGGTAAAAGAAAACAGCATTACAGAGCCTGGAGACATTAACAATAAGTAAGTGTATCAAAATGATTACTTTTCTCCATTCCCAATAAATACAACTAAGTAAAAGTTTAAAGTTTAAAACAGTCCTGGGCTGGGGATATAGCTCAGTGGTTTCGCCACCTGCTGCGCAAGTGCAAGGACCCAAGTTTGATCCCCCCAAATAAATTAATTAATTAATTAATTAATTTAAAAAACAGTCCTAACTGAGCATAAAAGGAGAAGGGCAAAAACTGGAAGAATAACTGGCACACCATTAACAACAGTTACAATGTGCTAAAGGCAGTGTTATGGAATACATAATTTCTAAATTATACATTTCTTCCATACCAATATCATATAATGACTACGTGAAACTTTGGTGATAATATGATCTTTTTTCGATTTGAGCTTTTTATTGTTTATGATTTATGGGATACTGGCAGGCTAATAAAATTGCTCAAGTACTCTAGGCCACAGTAAAAATGATAGGGTCCCGGGCCGGGGATTTAGCTCAGTGGTTTCGCCACCCGCTGCACAAGCGCAAGGACCTGAGTTCGATCCCTGGTACCAAAAAGAAAAAAATGATAGGGTCCCAAAGTCTGTTAACAATTTTCACCAAACTGCAATCTAATGAAGGAAATGTACACATAGCCATACTGTAGCCAACATACAAACAACAGCCTAGACTGTTCAAGGATTTTACAGAAGAATAGTCACTTGTGATTTTTTTTTTTTTTTTTTTTTTTTTTTTGCAGATAAAGAGACTGTTTT